TAATAAATGTTTAAAATTTGATAAAAAGGGTTTTTAAGTAAACATTTTTTGATATATAAATATGTTCAAAAATTTACCATAAATAACAAAAATGTTTATAAATTTTTCTTTCACTTGAGGTAAGCCAAAAATCCTTTAAGGGTATTTGTGAATTCGCTGCTTCTTGGTAATAAGTTATGTTTTCCACGTTTAGTACTAAAAATAGTCTTAGGGTTTTGCTTTTATTTGCTGGCGTATAAATCCGGTTTAAATCTCAGGTCTATCTCTCCCTTGCCTCTATGTGACATTTTTGCAATAATCCTCGTAAGATAGACTTCTTCTCTTTCTTTTTTCTATAAATTCAAAATGTTTAATGATTTATTTGAGCCCATGGAATCACCTTGCTTATCCATCTGCTAATCTAAGATATAACCATTAAAGTCTTATCGCTCCTATATGCCACAATTTGCCAAGCAAAATTTCACTTCCACTGAACTCAAATTCATCAATGTCGTTTGACTTTTGGATGTCAACAAACTCTGCAGAATTGATGGTCTGAAAAAGCTTTTAAGCTGCCAATAGCACATGCAGGAACTCCCAAACTTTCGTACCCTTCGCAATCGTTATTTCAATGTAAACAATTCAATTGCATAAACATGCCAAAAGGAAAATACAACAAAACTTTTTTTTTTTATGGCGAAGGAATGAAATAAATTCTAACAATTTGATTCAATCAGAGGCGAAACGATATCGAATACTTGGGACTGCCTTTGTCACCTTTATAAGAAAATGGAAACTTTGCCGAAAAAAGTTATTTAAAACATTTTCCCTTTTCGCCCATTTCTTCTAGCATTTTTCCATCCCAGACTTTTCTTCATTGTTTGCGTTTGAAGAAAAATGCGTTTTTCATGCTAATGTCAAACCTTAATAGATGGCTCCCACCCACTTTTTAGCAACGGAAAATCCTTGTACAGAGGCGTGGCACTCCCACCTTTACCAAACATGTGTTCAGAGAGATTTTCTGGTGGCATTTCCATTTTGGGGATAAACGATCGGTTGGGGGTCATCGCTGGCTGAGTTATTTCACTCTAGAGATTTTCCAATTGAACTGCTTTGACTTTCGAGCTGCCTTAGTTTATTGGGAGGGCGTGGTGGTCGAAAGAGGCCAGGCAAATATAGCCAATTTAAAAAGTTTTCTCGTCAGGCATTAAATTGACCTAAATAGTTTAGAGTGGCCTGAGGAAAGTCGACATAAATTCCGTTAAATAACTGACTTTGTTAGACTTGTGAAGGTCTTTATTGCTAGGACAAACTAATTTAAGTTAGAAATCTCTTCAAGAATCTCTGAAACCTCAATAGAACTCACTAAGTGCAAATAATAAGTAGGTTAAGCTAGTTTTTCAGACTTAATTAGTAAGAGTTATTCCTCAGCCCTTTCATTCCCAAAATAATTTTCCTTAGCCCAAAACTAGACCTTCTATTGACCAATTAATCGGAATTTCCATTCATTGGCTGCCCTGTTTATCCACAATATTGGCCATTGCCTAGGCCTCCGTATAATGAAAACAATAAACATAACTTGGCTCTAAAGATGTGGCCTTTTCCTTGGCCATAAATAGGCAAATAAACACTGGGAAACGACCTCAAACAAGTTGGGAGAAATGCAACAGCTGCAAAGGCCATAACCAACAGTCAAAACAAAGATCATTCTGAAATATATTTACCATACACACTGTGATAACGTCTTTTTTTACGGTATATTTACTTTGTTCGTTGATGTGGCATAAAAAATATTTATTAACTGACTCGGAACAAAAATGTTGACTTGACTTGACCCGGCCCCATCCTTGACCGCAAGGATTTGGATTTCAGCATGTTTGCACTGGCTTCGAGTTCGAGTTTGGGAGAAGTTCGTAGCTTGGACAGGACAATTGATGGACAAACATATTAGATAGATAGATATATAGGAGTATGTCTATATATATATATCTACGGGGTGTGTATTTGCGTGTGTCCAAACACAGACACTACAACTATAGTTCAGTTAACTAAAACATACACCCAAGTGCTCACACACGACAGTTATTTGCTTTTATGGCAGACTGAGCCCTCGCCCCCCTTTCCTGTCTGCTGAAATCTGGACATGCTGTGTACGTCAGTTGGTTGAACAGTTTATCCTGCATATAAACTTCAACAACATACACAACATGCTCCCGGTTTAGGCTAACTCTCCATCACCCCACCTTCTGATATTGTACCATTCCACCATCCTATTGGCCTACAACTATTTCCGCTTACTGCTAAACAAATCCCAGCTAGCAAAACATTTCGGTTCGAGTAACAATGGACGCACAACGCTACGTATACGCAATATTGGCAGTTGGCATATTATTGGAGTTTCGTCATTGAATTGACGGATCGAAGGGGCTGGGATTGACTGGTTAGAATGGGATGAGGTGAGGTAGAGATGAGTTCGATTGAGAGCAAAACACAAGCCAAGTCTTTAACCCAGCCAGCCTCATTTAATATGTTGACAACTTGATAAATTGTTTTGCATGAACATATTTTGCCTTCGGGTGAATCGTTTAATTGGACTGAGAATTGAATGGAATGGCACTGAATTGGAGCTGACAATTGGCTTTTTGATAGGTTTTGTTAGGGAGCGGGCAGGAAAGTTTGTATTACATTGATATGTACAAAAAAAATCAAACATCGTACTTGGAAAAAAATGGTGAAATTTTATATTATTGGAAGGATATATTTGTATTGGTTTAAAATGATTTAAGTCTTTATTAATCTAAACTTTAAACTTTAAACTTCAAATAAAGGTAATTTTTTCAGATCAGATCAGGAGGAGGTAGTTTTTATTCGTTTTTTTTAAATGACAAATTTTGTGATGTTACTTCAAAAATGGTTGTGCCACATATCTGAGATTTTGCCAAGAGGGTGCCAAGTGATAAAAGAGATAACGTGAAGAAAAAACCCGAATGTGGCATAAAAAAGTCTGCGTAAAAAAGATGTCACCAGCTGTCGCCGACAATCTTAATATTTGATGTGGAAACACGCAGCGAGGCAACAGCTGTGACCCCAATACAATGTTCGGGCTGGGGAAAACCCTCAAAGCCCAACCCTGGATTCTATACAAAACGCCAAACATTAACAATTTAATGCATTTGCCAAAATAAAATGCATAAATTTGATATGCTAAATTAAACCTGCAAAAAGGTTACCACTTATATACGAAATCAGTTTGCCATAGTTGATTATAATGATGATGGGCGATGGACTACTGGGCTTGATTTTCATGTGATTTACAAGGGTCCTAAATGAAAAGTAGGGGTTGTAGGGGTTTTCCTTCTCTTTTTATGGCTGGGCAAATGAGATGCCATTGTTGGCCGTTGCCACTGTAAAATGCCAGAAACAATTTAATGCTTCATTGATAACCGCACATATGCGACCGACCCCTGTGACTGACAGCACAGACTTATCTTGGTTTTCCTTTCTTTTCTTTTCACTTTTTGGGTTTTCCACGGCCAAAAAAAAAAAAAAACTTGTCCTCAAAAGGAATCGAACTGAAAGAAAGAACGGTATTTGCCGTCTTCAACTGTGCGATAAACATATGAAAAATGCACATGCGGTGGGCCAAGTTCAATTCCAGAGGCCAAAAGTTTACGCCACTTAATAGAACTTGACGCAAATTCAATTACAACATGGCTGCTCCACTCACACCCGGATGGCGGAAAAACTTGCAAAGAAATTGGCGGAAAAACGCTGGCAGTCAACTTTTACTCCCCAAAAAAAAACCAAAAAGGGAAGGCAGGTTTTCTTAGCACGTTGGGTATTGGGAATTACATTTTTCTTATCAATTTTTAAAAAATTGGAGTTGGAATTCAGTGGCTTAGTTTTAGGACTAATTTTTACTTTTTAATAAAACTCCATTTATTAATTTAGAGAACATTTTGAAGTAGTGTAAACCTAATTTGTTGTCTTAAGATTTCTATAAACATTGTCAACGCCAAAGGCTGTTTTTATTTGAAATAGAGAAAATGGTTCGAAAGAAACTCCAAATGGAATCGAAGTTTTTCCCCGAGTTGCGGGCTTGTGGGCAGGCTCCTTTACTTCGGCAACACTTTTGTCTGCAATTAGCAAATAAAACTTGGCTTATTTTCGGTGGGTAAATGAGGCGTGGTCCGCTCGGTTGGGTGTCTTGAGAAACTTTTGCAATCACTTTCGTTTGCATTCATTATTGGTCGAGGAAAAAGGATTTGACTGCCAGCAATTCCTTGGGCTTGGGTCAACTCGAAAGTCAGCGAAAATCTCCACTTATTCAGTTGGAAAAGTTTTTGTTTGGGCCATTGAATTTATCGATGGAATTTTAGAGTGGAATTGATATTAATTATTAAAAGTTGTTAAAGTTAATTAAAATATTTGACTTAAATCTAAAGTTTGGAAGGTTCCTTAGTCAGAATGTTGGTTTTTATTCTTGATTTATGATTAAAATATATAGAACTAAATCTCAAACTTTAAATTTTTTAGTTTAACACGTTTGTAACGATATTTTGCACAAAAACTTAATTATTTATTTTTATTTCCTATTCCTATTTATAGGCTTAAAAACTTAAAAATGAATAAATAATGATAACCCTAAAGCGCCAATTTTATAATTGGTACATTTTGGAACTAGTATTTGAGAGATCTACACCACAAACTTACACATAAGTTATCTACATGTCAATGTCAATAACATTAGCTTTGCTTCTCCCCTGACTAGGTGGCGCCACTTTTTTTGTTCTTAAAGGAGAAATATTTGGAAAACTTTTTAAAATGAATTTCCTTTACCATTTACTTACCACCAATGACCAAATATTATTTGTTAATACAAAGAATACTGGAAGAAGAAATATAAATACATAATTTTGTATAAAAATAAGTAATAAATTCTATAAATAATTTAAATAAAAACTCATGAAATAAAAGCACGTAACAAAAAACAACTTCCGGTTACGTTGCAAACTTGTCCTAATTAGTTAGTTCAAAGCCAATGCAATAAACAGAAAATACCTCCAACCTGACCTGATTGTAATGGAATTCTGGCCTGGCTTTTCCATAAATACGTGACCAGTTCTCGATTTAGGGCCAAAGTGTCGACGACCAACGATGCAGTCTTTCAAGAAACTCCGACTGGCATTGACCTTAGTGCTAATTTTGTGTCTGACCAATAGTTTTGTGGAATCAAGAAGATGGGGAAAGTCAGTGAAATTACATCTGCACAGAGAATCGAATCACACCAAGATACTGAAGAGTTTTCACAGCCAAAAGTTGAGACTCAAAGAGAAACTAAGCCCAACTACTACCACGGATTTAGAGATCACCTCGTTAACTGTAACTGGAACAACGCTTTCCAAAGATAACCTAATCAACTCTCACAACACCGAGTACTACGTAACAGCTTCTTTTGGAAGTCCTCAATCTCAGCAGGCCACTCTTCTCGTAGACACAGCCTCTGCAAATCTACTGGTCTATTCTTCGGAGTTCGTAAAAACTTCTTGTTCGAAACACAATGGCTATAATTCCAGTTTATCGCAAACTTATCAGGCCAATGGAACAGCCTTTCAGATACAGTTTGCATCGCAGGATGTCCTAACTGGTATTCTCTCCACGGATACCTTTACCTTAGGCGACTTGGCCGTAAAAAATCAGACTTTTGCTGAAATAAATTCATCATCTCAGAATTTGTGCAATCGCTCGAACTTCGATGGGATCCTAGGACTGGGACTTCCTCAGATAGCCATTGATGGAGTGACCACCCCTCTGGATAATATTGTGGATCAAGGACTCATCGATGATCCCATTTTTTCGTTCTTACGTCAATCGAAACGCTTCGGATGCCAGTAATGGTGGAGAACTGCTGCTTGGCGGTTCGGATCCTACACTTTATAGCGGATGTTTGACATATGTGCCACTCTCCAAAGTGGGATTCTGGCAGATCACCGTTGGACAAGTTAAGATTGGTAGTAAGAAGCTCTGTTCCAACTGCCAGGCCATCTTCGATGTGGGAACTTCTTTGATAATCGTACCTTGTGCTGGTCTCAAAATCATAAACAAAAAATTGGGTCTTAAGGAAACCGACAAGAAGAACGGCGTCTATATCATTGACTGCAGTAAGGTGTCAAAATTGCCGAATATCGTTCTGAATATTGGATGGAAGGACTTTACTCTCACTCCATCGGACTATGTTCTCAATTACAGTGGAACCTGCGTATCCGGTTTTTCGAGTCTCTCTGACTGTAAGGGAGAGCAAATCAATGACGATGGCGAGGACTTGAATGATCTCTGGGTGCTGGGCGATGTGTTCTTTGGAGCCTTCTTCGTTTTGTTTGATTTTGGACTCAAACTTATCGGCGTTGCTCCTAAAGTTTAAGGGAATAATTTCATATTTTTAAACTTCTGGTAGGCTTATAAATAAATATAAACATTTGGTGGCAGATTTTCTATATATAAGTTGTTTATTTAAAAATAAAATAAATGACTAAAGTGTTGCTCTTGACAAACCACTTTAAATAATATGAATGAATAACATTTTGAAGAAAAATCAATAACCTTTTCCAGGTCAAATAATTTGTTTACAACAAACTTGATTTTCTTATCAAAACATGCAATTACTTTCAAGACTTTTCCATTTGAAGTTCGCTGATTTACCTGGAAGTTTATCGAAAATCCCAACAGCCGAATTTAATTGCTTCGTTTCCCAATTTTATACACGGCACCAAGTCGTGTAAACAAAGGCCAAGATCGATAAGGACTATCGATCAAATGTGATATCTTCGGTGATCAATTTTTGGCCAGTTTTGTACTTATCACCGACCATATAAATAGCAGTGCCTCTAGGTTCCCTCTTCAGTCTAGCCCCAGACAATAAAAAGGGCAGCAGTTTATCTTTTATAAAAGTTACTAAAAATCTATAAAATAAAAATGTTCAAGTGGCTGGTTTTGTTGACCATCTTGGCTTTGGTCAGTGCTGAGATTCAGCGTATCAAGATCCATAAGAATCAAGATCATAAGAACACCCGTCAGCATCGCAAGCAGGCCATCAGGGCTTTGAAACATAAGTACCATCAAACGGACGATCTCGTCATCTATGACGATGGAGTTCCGATCTATGTGCAGCCTGATTATGGATACGATTATCCCAGCCAGAACTCGGATGACTACACACCCGAGGAACTGGGCAACTCGATGAATATGTATTACTATGGTGAAATTAGCATTGGAACTCCGCCGCAGTACTTCAATGTCATCTTCGATACGGGTTCTGCCAACTTGTGGATTCCTTCTTCCCAGTGCCTGGCCACCGATGTCGCCTGCCAGCAGCATAATCAGTACAATGCCAGTGCCTCCTCCACCTTTGTGTCCAGCGGTCAGAACTTCTCGATCCAATATGGAACTGGTAGTGTCACGGGTTACCTCGCCATTGATACGGTCATTATTAATGGTTTGGCCATCGCAAATCAGACCTTTGGAGAGGCAGTTTCTCAGCCGGGAGACAGTTTCACCGATGTCGTTTTCGATGGCATTCTGGGCATGGGTTTCCAGCAAATCGCCGAGGATAATGTAGTGCCTCCGTTTTACAATCTCTACGAACAGGGTCTTATTGATGAGCCAGTCTTTGGTTTCTACTTGGCCAGGAATGGTTCCTCCGACGAGGGAGGTCAACTAGCTCTGGGTGGAACCGATGAAAGCCTCATCGATGGTGAGATGACCTATACATCGGTGACCCAGCAGGGTTACTGGCAGTTCAGTGTGAACAACATCACTTGGAATGGAACCGTGGTTTCGGATGGTTGCCAGGCAATCGCCGATACGGGTACCTCTCTGATTGCCTGTCCTCCGGCTGCCTATACCCAGGTTAACTCCCTGATTGGCGCCATGCTTATCGAGGGAGATTACTATGTGCCTTGCTCCACTGTGGACTCACTGCCTGTTTTGACCTTCAACATTGGTGGCACCAACTTTGATCTTCCTTCCTCGGTTTATATCCAAACCTACACCGAAGGCAACTACACCAGCTGCATGTCCACTTTCACTTATATTGGAACCGATTTCTGGATCTTGGGAGATGTCTTCCTGGGCCAGTACTACTCCGAGTTTGATTTTGGCCAGAACCGCGTGGGTTTCGCTAATCTGGCTTAGATCTTTGACGAACCAACGAACTAGGCTTAAAAATGGTTATAAAAATACAAAAAAATAAATAAATATATGCATAGAAAAGTTGGAATTTCAGTTTTTATTTTAGATTAACAAAAAGGCAAACTAGGCTATATATTTTTAAAGAACTTTTCTTTTTAATACTTTCCCCAGCTTAATGTTTATTTTGCTAGCTAGAAAACTTATAGATCCCACTGTAATTCTCTCTACGCATAATTAACGATTGCAGACACCTTCAAAAATGTTCGAATGCCAGAATGCTCTGCACTATCGCGTGTGAAATGCTTGGCTAAATGGTGTGAAACGATCAGCCTCAGCTGCAGAGCTTCAGCAATCTCAGAGAACGAAGCCAAGTCAAGCTATAAATACGTGACCAAATAGGCCTCAATTGTCAAATCGAAAACTTCGACCATGAAGGTCAATTGGTACTGTCAAAATTTATTGCTGTTCTGGCTAACAGTTTTGGCCCTCTTTGCCATTAAAGTGGAGGCCCGAAAGAGTCTTAAATTAGGATTATACAAGAATCCTGAACCGATTGAAGAGAATCTAAAGAACGAACTAAGAACGCTGTCAATTAAACAAAAGTTAAAAGTTGATTCAACTGTGATTTCGTCCAAAACAAAAACAAATAATGTTGGACCAAAGGTAGCCAAGCTGGGAAATCTCTACAACACGGAGTATTACACATCCTTACTGTTTGGAAATCCTCCGCAAGCTTTGAATGTCCTTATCGATACTGGTTCTGCGAATTTGTGGGTCCTTTCAAGCAAGTGCCCAGACACGGTTAAGTCCTGTGCAAATCACGACAAGTACAACTCCAGTGCTTCCACAACCTACAAGGCTATCAACACGCCATTCACCATTGAATATGGATCCGATTCGGAGGGAGGAGTTATAGCACTTTCTGGCTTTGAATCTCAAGATACAGTAAACATTGCTGGTTTTGCTATAAAGAATCAAGTTTTTTCGGAGATTACCAATACGCCAGAGACAGCATTTCTTAAGTCATCGTTCGATGGAATTCTTGGCTTGGGATTCTCAAGCATAGCCATTGATAATATCACTCCACCCTTCTACAACTTAGTGTCACAAGGTCTGATAAAAAGTTCTGTATTCTCTATTTACTTGAATAGAAATGGCACGAATGCGGTTAATGGTGGTGAGCTGATTTTGGGAGGCACTGATTCGACTCTGTATAGTGGATGTTTGACCTATGTCCCAGTCTCAACTCCAGGATATTGGCAATTCACAATGACTAGTGGAAAGTTGAAGGACTTTAAGTTCTGTACAAATTGCGAAGCTATACTTGATGTGGGTACTTCCCTAATTGTTATACCTGAGGCTGTCCTGGATGACATCAACGAAATGTTGGGTGTACTTAACCCTAAGGACTCGAGTAGTGTCTTTTTGGTCAATTGCTCAAGGATCAGTGAGTTTCCGGATGTAATCTTTACCATTGCACGTCGAGAGTTCCGATTGAAGTCTAGCGATTACGTTCTTCGTTATGGGAATACTTGTGTTTCGGGTTTTACTAGCTTGAAAGGCAACACCTTGGTGATTCTTGGCGAGATCTTCTTGGGAGTTTACTTTACGGTTTATGATATTTTTTACAAACTTATTGGACTTGCACCAGCGGTTCATTGAGGATAAAACAAGTTTTCTTTTTCACTTTTTCAATATGTTTTTATAAAAACTAACTTACACAGAAATTTATATATTTTAAACTCCTACTAACAAATAAATATTACCCCTCTAGAAAACCAAAACTACACCCCTTTTTAATTTGATTTGCGTTTCAATAAATTTTCTGAGTTTATTAAATTTAACCATAAATCACATATTCCAGTTCAAGTCTCATATTTTAACCCACTTTACGTGCGAATTTAAAGAAATATGAAAAAGATAAATTCCACATGGCAAAACTATAAAAACCAGGGGACTGACTAGGAACCGAACTAGTGCTCCACCATGAACTTACGTGTGATTATCCTACTTTTTTGCCTGATCGTGTTTGTGGATGGTAAAAAAGTTCACAGATTTCGATTGGAAAGGCACTCCAGGCGGCACCACAAGGTTCCACATGCCCATCTGCATTTGCAATTCCGTAATGCCCTGAGAAGAAAGTACGGATATACACCACTGCGTACAGTGAATGCTGTCAATGTAACCAGTGACTCTAGTAAGGGGACTGTGGTCAACGAACCGTTGGTAAATTCCTATGAGACCAACTTTTTCGGAACTATTTCCGCTGGTGGACAGCCATTTACGATGCAGTTCGATACAGGATCTTCAGACATTTGGGTGCCCAGTTCCCATTGCAAGTTTTGTATTAAACAATGCGGTAACAAATTCTTCCAGGCATCCAAGTCGAAATCTTTTCATTCAAGCGGCGTTCCATTTTCAATCACCTATGGATCTGGATCTGTGCAGGGCATTGTGGCATCGGATAATGTTGGTTTTGGAGATCTAAAAATCCAGAGTCAGGGAATTGGCTTGGTCAACATATCCGACTCGTGCTCTGTTTTTGATGGAATCGCTGGCTTAGCTTTTAGTGCACTTTCCATGACCAACTCTGTACCGATATTCCAGCAAATGATTGACCAAAAATTGGTAGAGCAGCCAATATTTTCATTTCACCTGAAAAGTGGCTCCACCGATGGTGGTTCAATGATACTCGGTGGATCGAACTCAAGTCTGTACTATGGTCCGTTGACTTACACAAACTTGACCGAGGTCAAGTACTGGACCTTTCAAATGGATTTCATTGAGGTTCATGGGAAAAGTTCAAGACGTTGTGATACGGGATGCAAGGCCATAATGGACACGGGAACCTCACTGATCGTTGGTCCTGTGATTGATGTTCTCTATATAAACAAAGCTATAGGAGCCGAGCATAATGCCACATATGATCTGTATATTGTTGACTGTTCTACCATTGCCCAACTTCCGATTATAGTATTTGGCATCGCGGGCAAGGAGTTCTATATAAAGCCACAGACCTATGTGATTGTATATCAGGACTTTTGCTTCTCCGGCTTTATGGATATGCGTGGTCTGACTTACTGGATCATCGGAGATGTGTTTCTCAGGGAGAACTATGTGGAGTTCGATTGGGCTAGAAAAAGAATTGGTATAGCACCGGCTGTTTAACGGGATTAAAATGTATTTATTTACTTGGTATAATGTTTTTTTTATTAATGGTGTTACAAGATTAGAATTGAATGCTATGTTTTATATTATATAAAGCAAGATGCAAGTTTATTATTTTATCTACAATTTTTAGTGATGAAAGGTTGGTTTTTACTGATGTAAACAAAACTGAGTTAAGTAATTACAAAAATCTAAATGTCTGAAATGTCTGAAGTCTGACCTTTGAATTGGTGCACACATCTTATTTGTGATTTCCTGCTGGGGGTTCCTTTCCGTTTGGTGTATTTCCACCTCCACCGCCTGACTGTCCACCGTTGCCCCCATAAATGGCACGTGGCAGACGAGGTTGCTGTTGTTGCTGGCGAAGCTGCTGATTTGACCGCAAATTTTGAGCCATTAATTGCCGGTAAAGCAACGCAATATCATTGGGATTGGCATGAGCCAATCCTGCCAAATCCCCGATACTGGGAACTGCTCCAGTACGATGTTGCTGCTGGTGCTGATGTTGCTGTTGGTTTGTGCGCAAGTTACCGGCCATTATTTGCTGATAGAGCAAAGCCAGATCATTGGCATTGGAAAAATTCAATCCTCCCAAGTCTCCTGCAAATGAGTTTCCCGCTTGACGATGTTGCTGCTGCTGGTGGGGCTGCTGCTGCTGGTTTTGCTGCTGGTGCTGGTGTTGCTGCTGCTGGTGTTGCTGCTGCTGGTATTGCTGCTGCTGTGTTGGGTTTGCCCCTTGTTGCTGCACTGTTTTATGTTGCAAGTGGATATGGTTATGCGGTGGATTTAGCTGTGGCTGCGGCTGCGATTGGTGGTGCATCTGATGGTAGAACTGAGGAAATGGTATCTCATTGAAATTTTTGACGCCGTTGCGATTGTTGTTGTTATTGTTGTCGGTGCCAGGTTGACGAGGATGATGCTGCTGCTGTTGTTGTTTATGTTGATTCTGCTGATGGTGCTGTTGTTGCTGCTGATGTTGTTGCTGCTGCTGCTGCTGTTGTTGTTGTTGCTGCTGCTTCTGTAGTTGCTGCTGCCTTTGCTGATAGGCGCACTAAAATATGAAATATGTTAGTCTTAGTAGCTAAATAAGCTCTCAGGAAAAACTTGGAATATAAAATAAAATATCTAGAATCCATATCTCACCCCCAAACAGTTTGTCACGGAGGTAGCTCGTTCTGTTTCCGCAGCTTGTCGCCGTTCATATAAAGGAACCGACATGGCAGATCGTTCGATAACCGGTGTTGAATGCCAAGCTTGATTCGCCATCGTTCCCAGACCAGCTAAACAGATGGCAGTGTCCTTGGGAAAGTCCAGAAAGCTTTCCCCGAAGAGGGAATAATTCTCGGCGGCCTTAAAGAAATTTGGACTGCCATATTCCGGATAACCTGTGGTATCTCCATAAAGTACCCGCTCCACTTCTGACAAGTAAATGCTGGCATTATCGTTAGCCGGTGGCTTACTAACGGTTTCATTTCCAGAACCACTTCCAGATTCAGTTCCAGATCCGGTTCCTGATGCATTTCCAGGACTATCATTTCCTGATTCATTTTCTGTTGCAGTTCCACAGTTTGGCACAAAATGCTCGGGCTGCTCCACGAGCCCCAGGGAAATATCATCAGGTGTTACGGACCAGATTTTCATAGCCAGTTGAGCGGATATATTGGCTAAGAAAAACAACAGATTTTAAGAAACATGAATCAAAAAAATTTAATAGAACATTTTACCTTGAGTAGCAGCCTCAGTTTCCATGGCATCCAAGTCATCAAATACAACTTCACTCTTAAAATTGTTATTATTCTCGGCCATTAGGATATTAAATACAGAAACTATAAATTTAGAACAATTTTCAATGAACTTCTTCAAATAATAATCTTCAACCTGTGTCTGCCAGCTCCCGAGACTGAATGAGATTTAAATAAAAACCTTAGTAATCAAGTGCAAGCCGAAGCGATTCTCACTGCTTTTGTTTATAAACTTATTCGGGCTTGGGTTACAGTACGCGTGTAAACATTAAAATTATTTACGCTACGGCACACAAAATGAGGAACCCCAGGAAATCGCCAAAGAACACAAAAAATTCACATGCTCGGCAAAAAAGTTTCAGGTTGATGGGCAGCACTGTATGGAAATTTTCGCAGAACTACAAAATCAATAAAAATTTTAATTTCAGAGGCACTTTCTTTTGTTCTTTAAATATTATTGGATAATAAACCAATTTGTTTATGTATTTACTTATTTTTTTTATTTAACTATATTACTTAAGAAACACTTAAAACCCGATTTGGTGTTATTTTACACATTGAAATATTATTTTTAAATTTTTCTTACCTAATTTAAAAGTTGGTGCTAACAATGTTTAAATGTTAAAAATCTTAAGCAAAATATTGACAAAATAAATGTAAAATAATAAATATTTCGGACGGTCAGAAGTTACCGGAAACAGCGCAAGCGCAAATGTTAAAAAATGCGCTGCAGTGTGACCGTTTAACCAAAAACATGAGTTCCTTTAATTGTCCGTCGATTTACATACACATAAAAATCCAAGTTTAAAAACAAATTGGTTCACGTGTCGTTAGATGAGGAATATATAACTGGTTTGAGTAGGTTGTCAAAAATGAATCGCCAAAAATATTGAAACTTTTAAGCACGACACGAAAAAAGGAATTTTGGAGAGTATATTTAGCAAAATGATTAAATTTTCAATGGTAACTATGTTGGACTGTAATGTTATTTAGTTTATTAGATTGCAAACAAAATTTATTCTCAACAGTAGTACTTTTATTTTAAAAGTTTTAACAAAGCTGTACACAAATATTACACAATGGGCCCTAAGTTAAAAATTAAACAAAGCGTCAGGACATGCAAATACAAATCAGTTAACAGGCTCTGTAATGGCATAACAGAATCCGGCTCCAGCGCCGCACAATTTAACTGGTGGCAGCTCTAAAAGGGTTGGAGTACATCTATAAAAGGAAAATATAAAGTTAAATCATAAATTTATTAGTTTTATCCAATTTTAGCTACTTACAAATTTTCAGTGCTGTTGTTACCACAATTTCCATGCTCGTTCCATCCCCAGGTGTAAACCTCTCCAGCCGTAGACCTCAACAGCCCGTGCTCGGCACCCATATGAATCCTAGCCGGACTCTGATCCTCTGGAAGCTTTAAGCGAAGTGGTGTGGGTATAGCCTGCTGATCGCTGAACGAGCCGATTCCCAATTGACCATAGCAATTGCGACCCCATACGAGGATCTCATTGTTCTTCAGCACTGCTGCATTGTGGGTCCAACCCACTGCCAATTGCCGCACATCCTCCTCGAACTGAAAGGCATTGGACTGTCCGAATTTATTGTCTCCTAATGTGAGGATTCTCTTAGTGCTGCCGCCACCCAATTCGCTTAGATCTACGCACTTGAGCAGCATATGATTCTGCCCACTTGAAATGGAAACTATCCGAAGTTCATTGGGGTTATGAGCCTGTATCTTGACCGTATTGCAGCGGTGCAGGCAGGTGGCCGTTATATCAAGCTCGATAGGCGGAGGATCCATGATCCTGAGTCGTCCGAACACATAGATTTTGTTGTCCTGTGTTAGGACAGCACAATGTCGCAGGCCAAAGCTGATCCTTAAAGCGGATTCTTCCCGGGGAAGTTTCACTGGCATGGGTCGTCTAACGGCTATAAATCCCCGCTGGCAAATGCCTAACTGCTGGAAGGCATTCGAGCCCCAGACATAAAGGCGTTTGGTCACCGTAATGGCTCCTGAAATGTCCCAACCACAACTGATGGTTTCCACTGGTACTTCCTACAATAAAAGTGCAATAAAGATTACCTTTGAGATGTAAATTTCTTTTGATTACCTACCCCAAAATATTCGGTGGGAATCATCTTGAACTCGTTGTGGCACTCCTCCGTCGAGTCAAGTCCAAGTTGACCACGATTGTTCCATCCGCAGGCATGTACCCTTCCATTTGTGTCGAGAATGAGGACGTGGCCACCACCTCCACGAATGAATTTAACTTGGGGGGCGGCGAAGGAGCACCTGGTCACCCGCTGCGGTGTCATGCACAATTCGGACTCAAAGCCAAGGCCGAGCTGGCCGTGAGAATTGGCACCCTAAGACATGGGGAAAAAAAGGGCGAAAAGCCAACCAAAGGAAATCACTCATTAATTTGCAATGCAAATGCAATCGCCAAAAGACGATGTCTCTGTTTTTTTGTAGTACTCATTGCAGGGTAGAGTAGTTTTTGGTAAAAGTTTAGAAAATTCTAACAAATGCTATTCCTAAAGCTCCTATTTTATATTCTTAGCTAAAAATTAGATTTATCGACAATATTCACTTGATTTCTTGCCTTTCGACTTATTGCTTTCATAGCTTTAAAATTCTCTTAAATTGACAAATAAAAGAAACAGTACAAATAACCAATTTGAGAATACAAGTCCAAAAAACATTTAAGGAGATAAGTTCAAAGTTAACTACTAGCCATGAAGATTTGTAAAACAATCCAGAGATAAGATTACTTCGTACTTCAAGGGTGTTAAGCCTTTCGGTTTCTTAAAGCGGATTACTATATAGTGTTAGTCCTACCCAGGCGTAAACCTCCATGTTGGTGACCACCAGTTGCTCGTTTCGCGCTGAACTTCCGGTTGTTGTTCGTCGCCGCTTATTTCCCGGTGATTTAATGCGCCGCAGTCACGACAAGAATGCGGCAGCAAACCAGTGATTTCGACTCCTCGATGGCCTCCAATGCTGCTCCTTGAGCCTCCAGAAACGTTCTTCCGCCTTTGGTAGCTCATGTAAAACTGAGGCTTGGCTCTGCCGCTGGAATTACTTTTATAACTCACGTTTCTATTAGTTTTTTGGCGTCGCATGCACACAAAATGTAAACAATGCAAATGAGTAGAGTTGCCAGACTTTGGTACACAGCTGATTTGTTAACATGGCTCTGGTAAATAACAGATAAATGTTAATTTTATTATAGTTCCCGCCAAGCCAACTTTTTAAATACTCCAGATTACTTATTTAAATTAAATTCAAAATTATTTTTTGAGAACTCAGCTAATAACACTTTGATTTCATTTAATGCCTCATTTGGTTATGGGCATAACGATTATATAACACTACCGGATGGGCGTACAAATCGTGTCAAGCTCATATAAATATATTCTAATTAAAAGCAATAAAAGTTCAGGGCGAAGGTTAAAGTGCATGCAATTTTAATTAAGTTTTAATTGTCGGGCTTGGGTCAAGAAAGCCACCCTAGTTAGCCACAATGTGAGTTTGTCCAAGAAAAAAGGGAAAAGGGAAATTAATGAAAGAAAAAAGGAAAGGAACGAAGTTGTGAATTCCTAGAAATACAAGATGATAAAACTTATTATTATAATTATAAAAATAATAATCCAACATTAACAAGAAGAAATTCTACCTTAAGTAGAGTGACTTACATGAATTTAACATTGTTAAGTAGAAATAGTACAGTAAAACTTTTTTCTAACAAGTTTATTATTTTAATATATAAAATTGAAAAATCAAGTTCGTAGTAATCCTCTTACAGGTAAACTGGTTTTTAATTACACAAAAATCACGTCGCTTGTAAAGCCAAGCTACACAAATGGGCAACTGGCGCTAACAGCAGGACATTACAAAGCTGCTATGTTCGACTGGCATGCAATGTGGCCAGGACCTCCTGCCCCACCCCTCGCCAATTCAACACACCTTCTCATGTGAAGAATGCACTGTGGATTCGCATTTGCAATTCAAAAATGAGCCACACATTCAAGCGGCAAAGGGTGGCCGCCCCTAAACGCTAGAAATGAAAACTGATGATTTTCACTTGATACCCGCAAACGAAGAAAATCCATGCAAGAAAAGACGGCAGCTCCACATGCAATCGAAGGTGCCCAAAGGCAATGGAAATCCCTTTTGAATTGCAATGGCAGTCAATTAAGACCACGGGGAATTAACATGTTCAACGTCAGATTTGAATAGAGAAATCCAAAGGAAGGCGGAACTTTAATTGGCCTTGCAGATTAAGGAAACGATAGATAATATTTGAAATTTAAATTTAAGAGCATTTAAAAGTCGCTTAAGTGGATTTCACTTTGCGGCTACTTTTTTGTGAGTCCAGTATGAATTGTTATCCCTATTTCTTGGCGCGAATATGACGGGTTTATATGAGCGTTTCCGTTTTGCTGTGGTCAGCTCAGATATATATGACGGGAAATCCCCATAAAGCCATAAGCAATCAAAGAAAATGAGAAATGTACTGTTTAAGTAGGTGTTCATTAATTCAGGGTGGTATAAAATAATAATAATGCAATAAACTTAATTGAATTAAATTAAAGTGCATTTGCATGCAATTCATAACATAAAATGAATATTTTCGCATTTTTAAAGTAATTTCTTTAAGATTAAATAGGATTATTATATTTCATCTAAGTTCTTAAGAACTTTTAAACTATTAACATTTTGGCGGTAATTTATTCTATTGTTCATTAACATACCAATGTTATAGACTGCTGTTAAGCAACATTAGCAGTGTTGCAAAATATTGGCAGCCCAAAATTGTGCAGCACTGTTAACAAAAAACCCGCCAAAGATTCGAATTCAAATATTGGGTTGTCATTAATATTATGGTTCTGTCATTCAAGAACCTCGTGTACGATCCGTATACGGATAAGTGTATTTCGAAGGACTAGTTATAAGGCTTTACTTGCATTCATGCACGCGTGCATGTGTGTGTATTTGCGCATATGTGAGCGTTCCCAGTGGAGTAATTTAAACGTAAAGGACACGTGACTCCATTTCCTGTATGTTTTTGGCATCTTTACGACTTTTTGTCTGTTGGTTGTCACATTTTTCTCGCTTTTTGTAGCCTCTGCGTGTTGAGTTGGTTTCGTGTGTTGTGTTTTCTTTTTTTGCCAAAGTCACTTTTGTTGTTCCTTTCCGTTTTTTGTGCTAAAAAGAGACATTTTTTTGCTGTTTTCGAAATTAAATCTAATTTGATGTGCAAATGTGTTGTGTCGGCAACGGCGCTTTGTTATTAGCCGCACTCTCCGGCACGTTTTGCAGACCCTCTTCTTTTGTTTCAACTTGTCCTTACCAACTTTGCAGCTACAGTGAGCATTCGAAAAGTGTTTCAAATTATTAAAAATGTAAAATTATTATCCAAACTTGAAATATATTGATATGAAGGTGTATTCTTCTTTATTTTAAGCTTTAAATAAATGTTCAATTTTTAAATAAAATTTTTATTTTTTAATTTAAAAAGATACCACTGTATATTTTTTTTGCCCCTCTGAATTAACAGTTAACGAGTAAATGGCTTACGTTTTTTATTTTCCCCACACTTTTTTTGTACCTCCTCCCTTTTGTGGTTTCATTTTCATTGCAAGTTGCATTTTGTTTGTTTTTCGCTTACGCTTTACTTTCTTTTTTGCTCCCTGTGGCTAGCACATTGGCAGCAAAGCAAGGACAACGCCAACGTGTGATAAGCCAAAGTGGCAAAGTTGTTGTGGGGTGGTGGATGGGAAAATCGGAAAAGGAAGGAAGGAAGTTCTGCTGATCGGGAAAGCTGCCGATTGGCACTTGCAATTAAGCGTTTGGCTTCAAATGTCATCGGTTGGCCAGAACGTTTTTAAATTAACTTATCTGATTAAAGGATTTTGTAAATTTTAAATGCTTGTGGGACTCAAAGGGTCTTTAATCTCTATGGGTAACTCTCTTTAAATAAATGTTAGCATTGGCAAATGAAATCTGGAATCCCCAACCTCTCAAATTTCCATGGCATGTCAAAAAAGCAATTCCATATTTTCCGACGACCAAAACGAATTTTGAATATCAGCGGGACACAAGTCATGACGACCACTAATCATGACTGTGGTCCGTGCTGTTGTCTATTGTGTAGAGGACATTTGGACAGAGGACTAGAGCCATCGGGGAAAACCTCACTCTTTTCGCACCACAACCACCTGCAACTCCATAACTGACATAATCGAAATACAGAAGCCAGAGCTGCACCGCAATGGCTGTCAAATTATGAAAATGGAATAGTTTCTGGTGTGGCTGACACTTTAAATGAAATTTGAAAAGCAATCAGACCGCAGAACCCCTCGGTGTTGCCCTAATTGCTCAATCAAAAAACGTATGCAATTCCATGGGGTAAATCAAGCTGACGCTAGAAAATGCATTTTCCAAGCCAAAAGAAACTAAATTTTATACTTAAACTTTGCCACAAAGACATGGCCAAAAACGGATGGCTTGGCGATGATGGGGTGAGGTGCGCGGATGAGCGGAAGTGTTTGGCGGTTTTTCTGGGGGAAAACGAATGAAAGTGATTGCCACAAGCAACAGCCAAAGACAACAATGCCAAACTTTGGCTGTGCCAAGGAGTTTTAACCAAGAGCGGGTCGGAAAATGAAGGAAGGGAGCTGGGAAAATACGGAGAAAAAGAGGGTTCAGGGATGAGGATTCTGGGTAGCGGAAACGGAAGCGCATTGAGCAAAGTTGCAGTTGTTGGCTTTTGTTTCGCCATCTCTCCAACGCCAGAGCAAAGCAATTTAAGTTAAACAAGCGCTCAACGTCCTCCCCGCTTTGCCTTTACTCAGTTTTCCCCGCCCATTTCCCCATTTCCCATTCCCGACCATCATCAGTGTCCTTTATTCCCGCGTTGCGCACAATGTAAATGTCAAATATTTTTCAAAATCCTTCGTTGCGCTCGGATTTGTTGCTAGCACTTTTCAAAAATTGTTTTCCCTGATTGACTTAAAGTTTTACTGCTTTTCGCTACTGCCAAATCTCAGGAACTTAGCTGGTACTACTTAGCAATATATCAAATGGGTGGAATTTTCACAAGAAATTGATTTCGTAGTGAAAGCTTTAAATATTTTGAAGATAATTAATGGAAATAGAGGGAATTGAAGTCAAGATCTCAAGATTAATCAGAATAGTTTTCCCAACCATCTAATAACATTGGAAGTACTCAAACGCAATCCTTAAGTTATTGAATATTTAATATTAATTTATGGCCAGGCCAAAGCCACCGACAAAGCCCAGCCTAGATTTGGGCCCAAAGTTTTGTTCGATAATTGCGGGCGGAAGCCCTATTTTGGTTTGGTTTTCCTCAGTTTTCCTCGACTGCTGCAACGCTGGCTCGATAATTATTATGTAAATTGCTTAAAAATTCACCGCAGGTATACCCAAAGGATTCACTTTGCCTTAGTTTTCCCCGACTTTCCACCCCACGTTTCCCCTCTGAGACGTCGTCTGGCAGCCGTTGCGCTGCATTAAGCTTGATTGCATTAAGTTTGCTTTCCTCTTTCCAAAAGGTGCAAGATGGGGTTTTCCGGGAGCCTTGGTGGGGAAGGTGGGTATGGTATCCCTTCAGTTTCCGGTCGAGGCGCTCTCACATTGCCCTTGCCTTGCCCGATTTCATTGCGCTTTAATCTATGCACTTTGAATTTCTTAGCCGGCATTCCGTATTAGCCAAATTTTCGCATGCTCCGTTGCATGCCTCTCGGTTTTTCACGGGGCTCGGGATTGGGTGAAATACTTCATTGAACTATCGTCGGGGCACTGTGGACTTTTTTTGAGATTTTTAAGTTTTAAAATAATTTTGAAATTTTCATTTAGGTCTAAAAAAGTTTAATTTTCTTTGAAAATGTTATTATTATTTTTTATTTATCTTAATAAACCTTTTCTATTTTATATTTTACTATTATTGATTCAATAAAATATCTTTTATCTATGTATCTTTGTCAAACTGAAATATTTCCCCACTGTAAACTGCTAAGAGCCTGTGAAAATTTGCCTTGTTGAGCTTGACAGGATATTGATGACCTGCACCTTCAGGGGATTCCCATTTTCCACAACTTCCGCCATCATCA